AATTCGTTGATACCGAAGGTTGAGTTTTTGGTTGGGATAGGGTTCGAACATTATGACGTCATACACAAATGGCGCTGGGGTCACTGGGATTGCAATCCAAACAGAAAGGGATGGGGCTGGGGACGAATGCCCGACCGACGGCGAATTTAGTGGTGCAGTAGGTAAGGACGGTCGCACCGGAATCTCCCACCCTTGCAGCGCCGGCGAGGAGGAGCTTTTGGCCGGGGAAGGTAAACTGGACTGTCGTGATTGGGAGGTGGAGTTCTTTTTTGCCTTTTTTTTTATTTTGTTTTGTTAAATTGATGATTATGATAAGTGTATGATTTAATTTGGGGAACATTTTTATAAGCTCTAATTTGTTGATTGGTTTAATCTAGGGCATTTTCAGAATTTTAATTGAGGTGGATTTTTTTATTTTTTATTCCTAACTTGTTAATTCCACATATGAGCCATGTCATCGCCATATAAGTTTTCAGTCATAAAAATTTGCCACTCAGCAAACTGATTTCCAACGTGGATATATTCTGCCTGACACGCTGGCATTTTTTGAACCTCCGATGAAAATTAAGTTCGTTTTGCAAAAGTAAGTCAAAGTTAGAATTATATTGCAATTATCCAAAAGTTTGGATTAAATTGCCAAAAGCTGAAAGGTAAATGTTTAAATAGCAATTAACCCTTTTATTAACAAGACACATACACATATGCCTAGTATATTGAATAATGAAACAAAATTTTGAAAAGATTGGATCACTCAATCTAAAACCATTAAAGGTGTATTCAATTAGAATTTCTAAAGACTTTTTAAGAATTTATAAATTATGGTGTATTTAATTTAGATTTGTTAAGATTTTTTAAAACTTTTAAAAATTCTAAGGTATTCAATTGGGATTTTAAATAGTCATACAAAATCCTGAGATATTTAATTTTTTTGACATTAGGATTTGTTAAGAATTTTTAATATTTGGTGGTAACATAAAACTTATACGGAATCTCATCTCAAATCCTACCTCCAGACTTAAGATTTTATAAAATTTCTCTAAAATTTTAAAATCTTAAAGTCTTTAAATATCACTTCCAATTCTAATTGAATAATGGCATGATTGGTAGGAAGGAATGACATGAGAATGGAATGATCATTCCTATACTCATTCCTTATCTCATGATTGGTATATTTTTTGGGAAGAAATGACCATTCCAATGCGAACGGCAAAATCCATCTCCATGGGTTCCATATAAAATAGAAGGTTTTCTCGTGCCCATGAGTGTAGGAATCAATTTTTCGAAAAATAAAATTAACACATAATAATAAAAAATTATAATATATATTATAAATTATGATTAAAATATAATAAATAAAATTATTAAAAAAAAAATCAAATAAAAAATTGAAAACTTACTTTTATTTATTTTTTAATTAGATATATTAAATACTTATATAAAAATAAAACTAAAAAAAGCATTTATATATAATTAAAAATATATTATTTTATTTTTATATATTATTAAAAATATATTATTTTTATATTATTAAATAATATATTATTTTATTTTTATATATTATTAAAAATATATTATTTTGTTTTTATATATTATTAAAAGGCATTTATATATAATTTATTAAAAGTATATTATTTTTTAAAAAAAGCTTTAATTTATTTTTATAATAAAAAATGATAATGTCATTCCATTCTAGTCATATTCCTTCTGCATACCAAACACATCAATGACAAAAACATGTTTCATTTCATTCCCATAATCATTTCATTCTTCAATTTATTTCATTCTTACGAAATTCCATTCCATCATACCAATCATGCCATAAGTGTCTTTAAAATCTAACTCATAAGTATTAAACTTACACATGATGAAGGTTACTAATAATGTTCTGGGAAAAAATTACCCATAATTAACTAATAGAATATATTATGTATGCATATAAATGATATAACTTTAGTATAATAATATAAATTCTTATAATTTGGGACAATTGCATTTTACCTTAATTGTGCAATCCTCATTTCCAAATCTAACATTTTGTTTAGTGGAACTCACATGAAACAGTCGATTGAATAATTTGTCCTCGAACCCTTTTATAACTAAAACAAGATCAAAATATTTTTATTATTTTTATCTACCACTGGTTTTTCACTAACCCAATTAATTATCTTTCATTTTATCATTATCAAGAAAAATTACCGTAAGTGTATTTCAAAAGGTATCTTATCGTTCCATGGAGGACCGTCGCCGAAATTAATGATTAAAATTAAGAAAAAGGTTTATCAACTTTTGTTCAAGTTGGCCAGCCAAAGGAAGTGGGGCTCTGCTTTTGGTTGAAAAACTCAAAAAAGTAGCAAAATCTTGAATTACAATTGCTCGGCTGACCAGACACTTGTCGACCACTGGTTTACTTCTATTTTGTAGATTTAATATTTAATCAAAATACTTATTATTTTCTAATATTTCAAATTGCATCCAGACGCTATTTTAAATTTGTAATTATGTCACGCCTTTTTTTCTTGATAAAACAATTTATGATTCATTACTCTTGGCTAAACGAAGCACATGAATCGAACTCCATCAACCGAAAAATGGTGTAGCTAGTCGTTTCGTCAACGAGGCATCCACATGGATAATATAAAACAAATAAAATAGACAAAATTGAATCTTATTATTGAAGCATCTTTTCTAATTTTATAATTCTATCACACCTTCTTTTTTGTTTAGCAAAATGATGTATGATTTATTCTTCGGGTAAAAATGATTTTGGATATAAAATCTTCTTCTTCCAAATGAGATAGTATAAGTGACAGATAATACAAATAAAAATATACGAACAACATAATTGGAACCAAAATAATTTGAAAATCATGCACTTGATGAAATATGAAAATAACAAAAAAAT